ATAATAATGTAATTTATAAAATTAATTGTAACGATTGTGACGTCTTTTATGTCGGACAAACGAAAAGACAGCTTCGAACTAGAATTAAAGAGCGCATTGTAACAATATAAAATTAGATCAACCCAAACATTCAGTGGTCACGAAACACATTATTGAGAGAGGGGGGAGAGGGAGAGTGGGGGAGAGGGGGGGGAGAGAGAGATCTTTATTACTAGCTTTTTCAGCTATTTACGATACATCTTTAACTTACATTTCGGACACATGTTCTTAACATTCTCTTAAACGACTCAAGTCTTTCACATTCTTTTATATTTACTGGTAAGGCGTTATATCCTTTCACTTCTTCATAAAATATACTTTACTGCGCACTTCTTGTATTTCGAAATTTTATCACAATGTCTCCTGCCTGTCGTGTTTGTCTTTCGCGCGTATTACCTACTATTTCGAACTGATCTCTCAATTGCTCCGGTAATAAACTTTTTAAAATTTTAAATGTAAATATACATATATTATACTGAAGTCTCTGTTTTACTGACGTATATATATACACACATATATGTATATTGTAAAAGCGTATAATACTAGAATAATGATTTCAGATTTGTAAGACATGCGGTTTAAGTTAAAATTAAAAGTAGATTTAAAATTAATTATAATCTTAATTGTAATTGTGATTGTAATTTTAATGTTAGTTAATGTTAATTAAACAGTAAACATTGTTTATTTCTTTTACAGTAACATTTACTGTAAAATTTACAGTAAACATTTTCTGTAACATTTACTTATTATATTTTGAGGTCTAGCAGCGCGCCAAGTTTTTTACATAAAAAAATTTATTTTCATAAAATTTTCTCATTTTGTGATGCTTCGTCTTTAATTTTTTGAGATTAAATGTTGTATTCCATTGCAAATATAAAAGACTCTTGAATAGAAAGATAAAGCTACGTATCATTTTGTCTCGTTAATTAAATGTTATATGTTGCAATAAAATATATGTTCTTTTCGCAATTTACAAAATACAATAGTATGTGTTATATGTTGCAAGAAATTATATATTCTTTTTCCAATTGGCGTAATTTAAAGATTTGATTTCATTTTTTTTT